AGGAGAGTATGGAGGGATGGTCACTGGGAAGAGGTAACTATGGGGAGGAAGTGGGAGGGGAGCTGTTGCATTGTGGTAAACTGTGGTCAATGACATGAAACAAAGTATATGTGAACTGCTGTATGGAAAGTGAATTTGCTCTGTAAATCTTCACCCAAATCAAAATAAAATAATAATAAAAAAAGAAAACACACCCATAGATATGTGAACAATACTGGAGGGATACAGCACTTAAAAGATATCTATTGCCAAAATGAAATGAAATACTAAGAGAGAATAACCTCATTTAAATGGAATAAGCTGTTAGCACAGAATCTATTTGATCCATCAAATGCTACTTTATCCAACACGAAGAGTGACTCCAGCACAACATTAGACCAACAAGGATTACTGTATTTAAATGTAGATAAAATCACCAAGTTAACCCAACAAACTGGCTACTAAACTAATTTAGTTTCACACTCTAAGAATCATAATCTATAGTCAAAAAGAGTCATGTCATCTTTTTGGCTTTGTTTCTATCTCTGGGTATTCCCATAGTGGCTTATTTCTAGTTTGAAACTTTTCCCTTACCTGCTGTTGGTCTGCTCCTTTTTTGCTGTGGTTCTGGATGTAATCAACCAGCCCATGCACCACTGTACGCACAGCAACCAGACCATTTTCTAGTTGTTCCCAAGTAGGAGGAGGAGCATCTATATATTACATGAAAAAATAAAATTTAAAAATTGTTATTCAAGGGTCTGTCCAAAATTTAATTAATAGAGGAACACACAGTACTTAGTGTCAACACTTTAGTGAAAATCTAGTTAAGCCTTATACATACAGTTTTTCAAGTAATAGCTGGTTCATCTAAACATAATTTTAAAGAAATGAGTATACTCTTTTAAAGCTAGAACTGCAAATGAAAGTATCTACAGAGAAAGGGAAAGTAGCATAAAGGAATCAAGTGGGCCAGCCAACAAAATGATAACTGCCATTATACTTAGTATTGAAGAGACAATAATGAATGACAAGGACTATGTTGTCATATGGCAGTTTTGTGTTTAGTTTTTTAAGAAACTGCCAAATCATTTTCCGAACTGGCAGTATCATACATTCCTACCAGCAATTTGAGTGATCTAGTTTCTCCACACCTTTGCCAGTACCTGGTATTGTCATTATTTTTCATTTTAGCCATTTCGACAGGTATGTAGTGATAGGTCTCTCATCTAAAGGTACAATTACTGCAGTTACTACTCAACTTTACCTGATTATTGTTAGATGAAGATGCAAGGCTAGCACAACAGATAAACCAATTCTTCCTCCAGGGAAAGATTAAATTCAAGATTTTTATGTGAAAGTTCCCAGTTTTAAAGTGTTGGTACATAACAACTTTAGAATATTGTACAGACCAACAAACTGTGTGACCCAAACTACACTGTAATTGTGAATTTTGAAGTTTTGTATAAGTCAGCTATTAGTAAGTAGAATGTTTAAAAATGTTTAAAAAACATTTAAAAATGTTAAAAAATAGAAGAACTATTAAAAGAGAAACTGCTACCCATCCTCTTCATTCAGTAAGTATTTGCCCTGTGTCAGCACTGTAATTTTTTCAAAATGAAATTAATCATAAGCCTTAATATAAAATGTTCTTATACATACATACATACATAAAGTGAGAACACAGAAATAAAGATGACTTCTTTCCAGAAATACCTTGAAAGGTGATGTATAGACACTGCTTATACACTTCTAGGTGATGTTATTTGAACTGAGTTTTGAATTATGTACAGAATTTCAATAGGAAAAGAAGGTGCAGATGAAGAGGTGAAAGGAATCTTCATTGGAAAAGTAATTTCAGAACACCTACTAAGTCCCAGATATTTTTGTAGTTGCTGGGAAAGCAGCAGCAAACAAAACAAAAGTCTGTTATATTCTAGGAAAGGGCCAGACAACAAAACAAGATAAATAATCAAAACATAGATTATTAAGATAATGATGAGTTGAAAAGATAAAAAGCAAAGAAAGGGAGTTGGTAAGTATATGTAAATTTTAGACAGGTAGCCAGTAAAGGAATCCCTGAAAAGGTTATATTTTATTAAAAACCTGAGGGAGTGATGGAGTGTGCCTTGTGGATAAACTGGGAGGAGAACATTCTAGGTAGAGGGAAGAATAAGTGCAAAGGCCATGATGGCATGTTCCATGGAAGCAGACTGAGGAGTGAATTAAGAGGTAAAAAGGGTAGGAGATGAAGTCAGGATGTACTGGAAACACCAGATCATGAAAGCCATTGTACATTGTAGAAAGGACTTCTGCTTTTACTGTGAGTGATGGGAAGCCACTGGAAAATTTTTGAGCAGAGGGGTGACAGAATTAATCCAGCTTGTATGCTAAAACCAGACAAAAGAAAGTATTCCATAACACATGATGAGAGACGACCATGGCTTAGATGAGGATGAGCAGTGAAGGTGATAAAACTATACTGATTTAAAGGTTGAGCCTATAAAGTCTACTGGTTATTCAGCTGTGTATTATGTAAGAAAGAGTTGATATCTCTAAGGTTTTTGGACTGAGGATGGCACTGCCAATAACAGAATTGGGGGGATTAGAAGAGCTCATTTTTGTAAAGGTCAAGTTTGAAACTTAACCATTTCAAACTTAATTAGAGCTGCTGGATGCTGAGTAGGCAATAATATATAGGTTTAGGGAAAAAATCTGGGCTGAAGATACACTGTGTTCCACAGATTATAAAATGCCATCAATTGTAACACACATCATTATTTTATGTGCTACATAAAGAGAAAGAAGATTGCTAATTAAATCATGACATCATCAATTGTATAAATGCGTATCAATTTCAGAAAATGCTACAATAAGGAAAAAATGAGGGCCTCAGATATGAGGAAATATAGTAAAGTTTTTAGTCATACAGGTGATATTTAAAGCCATAAAACCAAATGATATTAACTTGAGACTAGGTATAAACAGGAAAGAGAAGCAATCTAAGAACTAAACTCTGGAGCACTCCAAAGGTTAGTGTCTATGGAAATAGACTGAAATCAGCAAAGGAGGTTGAAAATGAGGGTCCAATAAAGTAAAAAGCAAGCTAGAAGAATGTGGTAGCCCTGACACTAAGTGGGGAAAAAAACAACAAAAAGAACTTGTTTCAAGGAGGAGAGAGTAGGCAACAATGTTAAATGCTGCTGACTGGTCAAATACATTAAGAACCAGAAATGCCTTTAGATTAGCAACATGGAAATCACTTGTAACCTTGACAAAAGCAGTTTTGACAGAGTGGTGGAGATAAATGTAGACAAGGTTCAACAGAGTGCTACAAAAAGGAAAGAAACTGAGTAGTAGCTGGATAGGGATTAAGAGTTAAAAAATGGGTTAAGAAATAAAACAGTGAAACTTGTGAGAGCCAGAAATCAATGGGATTGCCTAGTTTTTCCAAGTGTCACAAGTTTTCTGCCTCTGACATGGTAAAGTCTCATCACTTTTCTACTATTCATTTTCGTGAAAAATATTAAGTGTTTTCCCACATAGTTCCAGCTTTTGCAGGCTTTACTGTAACTGTTACATTGATAGAACATTTTAGTAGGAAAAAATTTGATGATACAAGAAAGAATACAGAAGGGATATACTTGAGATGATATCTAGTGCATGAGGAGAGGGTTGCTATAGTTAGGACTACAGTCTGTATCCACTATTATAAGAGGACAGCAGAATGCATTGGCACAGATGCAGGTAGATAGATTGATATGGGGTGGTAAAAGTTTGTGCAAGTTCTCTTCTGATTGCTCAGAATGATCAAACCACAGAAAGAAAGAATAAAAACCCAACATTATATATGTAAGGAATCGAAATAGTCTGGTTTGATTAAGCAATTTTGGGAGATAATTCTACAAAGGTGGGTGGCTCCCATAGTCAAGCATTCTAGATCTTTCTTTTTATAAGCAATGGAATCTCAGTGTAAGTTCATGAATAAAGAAATAAGATCAGAGATATGACTTATTTTACAGCAATAAGTAGACTGGATTGGAAGAATTAAAAGAGTAGAAGTTGTAAGAAGATACTGAGTCTCATAGAAAAGGAATGAGGACCTCACTAAAGCAGTAATAATAAAAGGCACGGAAAAGAGGGACATTGTAAAAGAAAAGACAGATAACTGTTGTCTGAATGGCATGTATATTAAGTAAGGGGAAAGATATGAGGCAAGATAAAAGATTCAGACTGTAAGCTTATATACCTCAGAGAAAGAGTCATTAAAAGAGGGAACACAGAGGAAGCAAGTATCAAGTAAAGAGTTCGCTTTAAAACACAAGAGGAGAAGAAGGAGAATCTCAGCATACATTTGGGAAAGTAGGTCTGGAATGATGAAGAGATTAACAGTAGTAGAGCTATCTGGGAATCTATTTTCAGAAATAATACCTGATGTTGTGAATGAATGACCACCATCAACAGAGAATGGAGAGCAAAGTTCCAAGAGTACATCCTACCTACTCCTGAGTGGCCAGAAGAAAGAAGTCAAAAGCAGACAGAAGCCACATTTAGAGCAGTCAGAGAAGAGCCATGAGACTACAGAAAACATCTCAGGAGAGTTTCTGTATCAAGTACATGGTCAACAACATTATCAAATGCTAAATACAATTCAAGTAAAGAAGGGCTTTGGAATTAAGAGACTAGAAAATTACTAGTAAATGCCAAGAGTTTCAGTTCCAAAATATAAGAATGGACAGTGATAGATACAAATCTGGGATCAAGAAAATGCAATTAAGGACAAAAAACAAAAAACCAAACTCACTGCCGTCGAGTCGGACCTGAGTCATAGCAACTCCTCCTTGGGTTTCCAAGATGGTATCACTATAGAAGTAGATTGCCCAATCTTCCTTCTGAGGAGTGGCTGGTAGGGTTGAATTGCCAACCCTCTGGTTAGCAGTCAGATGCCTTAGGCACTACGCCACCAGAGCTCCTCCCAATTAAGGACATATGATGTAGAAAAAAATGAGGGAAAACTTGGAGCTTTGGCAAAGAGGTGAGAATGGTAAAATATAGTCTAATTATGTGATGGGAGAAACAGGAAAAATAAAGAAGCCCAGGGAGAATCTATTTTCCTGATTAAATGAGAAGCACAATACAGGTTAACATATTAAATCAACATTAGTTGAAGTACACTAACTTGAAAAAAATAGGGACTAGAGTAGAGCCAGAGATCTCAAGTACTACAGAAAATATCTGAACTAACTATAACTACTCTGAGATACTCCAGAGAAATGTAACAAAAGATAATTAAAAGAATCATTGACAAGCACTGAGGGGCAGACATAGGACAGTCCATTAATTTCTCTTGGGTTTACCTGGACTAGGGTCAATGTTTGCTAACAGCTCCAAATGGGGTCTCAATCGGTTCAAGTTTGCTGGGTCTCCAGTTCGCTGGAGAGCAATTGTTAGTTCCTGAACACTTTGTGCAAAAGAGGCTGGGGTCTGCAACTTAAAAAAGATAAAATATTAACTTTCCTAAAAGCCAGGAAATCTTTTTGAAATAAAAATTATTTACAGTCCCACCCACAATCATTTTTATGATTCATTAAATTTAATTTTTCTCCTCCCATATACTCATGGCTTTGGCCAGACTGGATTGCCCACTACCTGAACAAACTCTGTAATTCTTCTCTTCCATGGCTTAGTATGTTGTATACTCTGTTCCCTCTGCTGTCTGCTCTTTCCATCTACATAGAATTTGAATGCCTAGTCATTCCACAAAGGTTACATGTGACACTTTTCTTGATTCCTTAATTTAGAAGTACTCTTTCTATCCTATAGTATTACAGCACTGTATTAGTTAGGCTCTTGGGGTACTTACAAATTATTTAAATTTAGAAATATACAGATAATGCTATATAACAACAAGAACAATGAAACTGAAGTCAGTCAAAATGAATTTGAGTTCAAGCTCTGTTATAGATCAAAGCTCATGGTACTGGATATAACCCTAAAAGATTCAATAAAAAGTCCATCTGTTAAATGAACTCTAGCTTAAAACAAAATAAAAACCTACATTGGTTTGTGATTCTTGGAAGCTATCATGTTATACATTATCCCAAGGCTTAATGACACATGCTTTGGCATTAACTCCCCTAAGCTGGCCATAATATGATCTTTCACAGGGGAGAAAAAAAAAATTGATTATGTGACAGTACCTAAAGTTTCCTAGCTAGAAAAATTACTATTTAATTAACATTAAATTCTCTAAGAGAATTTGCACCACCCAGAAAGGATATTCTATAAAGTAATTAAATGTAACTCATATACACTATAAAATTTATTTACCACTTTGTTGTACAGAAATCCTGATACTAAATTCAAAGGAATTGCTATGATGTAAGAAAATTATTACAGGATAATACTATTTACATAGTACCGTTCAGATAAAAGAAGACAACCTGTTTGTAAGAAATGTTATAAACACAAGTCAAGTTTCTCTTCAGTGGTAGAAAACTACTCCTTTACGAGATCATTAAGGTTTCAGTGAATTCTAATCAGTAAATTACTTAAGTTCAGATATAAGCTTCTGTCCAAAGGTAGGAGTTTCAGGTAAAGTTTGGTTAAAGGACAGAGCAAACAACATATATTATATACCGAAAATTATACCTAAGAAGTTACAGAATACATTTCCAAATTCTCTTCTGACACCAATCTACTATTCTTTTCAAAAAATTCTATCCCAGGAATAATAAAGTGTCAGGATAGTCTGGAAAGAGGTTTATTGGTTAAGAATATGTATTCTAGAGCCAAAGTGCCAAGTTCAAATTGAAGCCCTGTCATTTATTAGCTATGTGACCATGGAAAATTACATAATCTCCCTATGCTTCCTTATAAAAGGGATAACACAGGGTTGTTGAGAGCACTATTGTTGTTACGTGCCATCGAGTTACTTCCAACTCACGACAAAATTTATGTTGTTAATAGGTGCCACCAAGTCGTCTGCAACTCATAGTTATCTAGTGTACAACAGAATGAAACAATGTCCAGTCCCGTGACAGCCTCACAATCCCTGCTACACCTGAGTCCCTCGTTACAGCCACTGTGTCAATCTATCTTGTTAAGGAGCCTTCCCCTCTTTCATTGACCCTCCACTTTACCAAGCATGATAGCCTTCTCCAGGGAAGACCAAAGCAGGTAAGACCATGTCTGGCCATTCTCACTTCCTAGGAACATTTCGGCTACACTTCCCCCAGGACAGATTTGTTAGTTCTTTTGCCAGTGCATGGTACTTTTCAGTATTCTTCGCCAGCACCACAACTCAAAAGCCTCAATTCTTCTTCAGTCTTCCTTATTCACTGTCTAGCTCTCACATGCATATGAGACTACGGAAAATACCCTGGCTTGGGTGAGGTGCCCCTTACTCTTTAAGGAGACATCTCTGCTCTTGAGTACTTTAAAGAGTTCTTTTGCAGAAGATTGGCCCAGTGCAGTATGTCATCTGATGTCTTTACTGCTGCTTCCATGGGTGTGGATTGTGGATCCAAGTAATATGAAATCTCTGACTACTTCAATCTTTTCTCCATTTATTTTGATGCTGCTTATTGGTCCAGTTGTGAGGATTTTTGTTTTCTTTATGTTGAGGTGTATTGTATTCCATACTGCAAACTGCAGTCTTCAATCTTCATCAGTAAGTGCTTCAAGTAATTCTCACTTTCAGCAACCAAAGTTGTGTCCCTGTGTACTGCAGATTCTTAATGAGTCTTCCTCCAATTATGATGTCACATTCTTCTTCATACAGTCCAACTTCTCAGATTATTTTCTCAGCATACAGACTGAGTAAGTATGATGAAAGGATATAATCCTGACACACTCGCTGATTTTAAACCATGCAGTATCCCCATTCTGTTAGAATGACAGCCTCCTGGTCTGTGTACAGGTTCCTGACATGCACAATCAAGTGTTCTGGAATTCCCATTCTTCTCCATATTATTCATAATTTGTTATGATCCACCCAATTGAATGCTTTTGCATAGTCAATAAAACCAAGTAAACATCTTTCTGGTATTCTTTGCTTCCAGCCAAGATCCATCTCACATCAACAATGATATCCTTTGTTCCATATCCTCTTCTGAATCAGCTTGCATTTCTGGCAGTCTCTGTCAATATACTGTGGCAACCATTTTTAAATTATCATCAGTAAGATTTTCCTTGCATGCAATATTAATGATATTGTTTGATAATTTTCACATTCTGTGGGATCACCTTTCTTTGGAATTAGTACAAATATGGATCTCTTCCAGTCAGTTGGCCAGGTAGCTGTCTTCTAAATTTCTCCGCATAGACAAGCGAGTGTCTCCAGCACGGCATCTGTTTGTTGAAACATCTTACAATGGGTATTCCGTCAGTGCCTGCAGCCTTGTTTTTCACCAATTCCTTCAGCTGCAGCTTTGACTTCTTCCTTCAATACCACTGATTCTTGATCATATGCCACCTCCTGAAATGGATAAGCATCAACCAATTCTTTTTAGTACAGTGATTTTGTGTATTTCTTCCATCTTCTTTTCATGTTTCCTGAATCATTCAATATTTTGTCCATAGAACCTTTCAATATTGCAATTTGATGCTTCAATTATTTTCTTCAGTTCTTTCAGTTTGAGAAATGCCAAGCATGTTCTTCTTTTTGGTTTTTTAACTCCAGGTCTTTGCACATTTCATTATAATAATTCACTTTGTCTTCTCAAGCTGCTCTGTGAAATCTTCTGTTCAGCTCTTTTATCTTGTCATTTCTTCCATTTGCTTTAGCTATTCTCCATTCAAGGGCAAGTTTCAGAGTCTCTTCTGACATCCATTTTGGTCTTTTCTTCCTTTCTTGTCTTTTTAATGTCCACTTGCTTTCTTCATGGATGATGTTCTTGATATCATCCCATAGTTCTTCTGTTTTCGGTCACTGGTGTTTAATGCATCAAATCTCTTCTTTAGATGGTCTCTAAATTCAGGAGGGATATAATAAAGAGAACATTTTGGCTCTTGTGTACTTGTTTTAATTGTCTTCAGCTTCAACTTGAACTTGAATATGAGCAGTTGATGGTCTGTTCCACAGTCAGCTCCTACCCTTGTTTTGGCTGAAGATATTGAGCTTCTCCATCACCTCTTGCCACAGATATATTCAATCTGATTCCTGTGCAGTCCGTCTGGTGAGGTCGACATGTATAGCCACCATTTGTGTTGTTGAAAAAGGTATATGCCGTGAATAAGGCATTGGTCTTGCAAAATTCTATCATTCAATCTCCAGCAACACACAAACCACCAGAGCACGACAAACTGACAGACAAATGGTGGAAAACTTATGTATAACAGAATAATATGTTGCCTGATCCTGTGTTATCTTCATGATTATTACTATGTTTGAGTACACTGTTGTGGCTATTATGTCATTTATCTCACTGAGGGTTTCAAAATTTTCTGCTAGCATTCTACTTTACCAGGCATGGTGTCCATTTCTAATGAATGGTCTTTCCTGATGACTTGCTCAAAGTAAGTGAATCAAAGTTTCCCTATCCTTGCTTCTATTAAAGCTACCTGGCACAGCAAACTCTCAATAAGTGTTAATGTTATTTAGGCTACTCTTTCCATCTTGACCCTATTTCCCTAAATTAAATGTATGGTCATCTCTAGAGTTGACAATCATCTCTGTAAGTCTAAGTATTTAAAATAAAATAGTAAAAAGTAAATACAATTATTAAGCAAAAGAGGCCTGGTAGCACAGTGGTTAAAGTGCTCATCTGCTAACTGAAGGTTAGTGGTTTAAATCCACCAGCCACTCTGCAGGAGAAAGGTGTGACAGTCTACTTCCATAAAGATTTACAGCCTTGGAAACCCTACTGGGCAGTTCTACTCTGTTCTTCAGGGTTACTATGAGGAACCGATTTGATGACAATGGGCTATTACTAAGTATACAATATAATGCACTGTGCTTAAAGGCTTTTTCACAGAAATTTCATACATTTCATGTTGAATGACAGTAAAAACAGTTACAGTATTATTCTAGTTTTAAGAAGAGTCAAATATACCTCTTAAGAGTCACAAATAAATAATGGAGCCTAACATAGAATTAATGTCTGCTAATGCCTACTCAAATGGTTTTATCACTGTAACAGACCATAGATAAGTTAGCATATCGAATGTCTGATCAAACTTAGAATGGTGGTAACTTCATTATTATGTGAAATTTATTCTAACTGAGAATAATAATAAACTTCAATATATCCATAGATTTTACAGACTAATATAAATAGTTGCCAGAGAGAGACAGTTACAGATCTGTTAATTAACACAATGACCAAAACTCAGAGAAAAATAATAAAAGGGCGAGAGGCAATAATAAAATAAGAAGGAAAACTCTCAAAGAAATATGGGAGGCTTTGGATAAAGCAATACAATAAGCAAATCTTTATATGAACAAAGGAGCTCTGGTGGTGTAATGCCTAAGGCACCTGACTGCTAACCAGAAGATTGGCAGTTCAAATTCACCAGCTGTTCTACAGAAGGAAGATGGGCAATCTACTTCCATAAAGATTTACTGTCTCGGAGACCTAATTGGGGTTGCTATGAGTCAGAATCGACTTGATGGCAGCGATTTGGTTTTTTTGGGTTTGAATTTATATGAACAAACTAATATTGTGATGTGACTAATTATGACACTTGGCTACATAAAGTATAATTTATAAAAGCCTGACATATAGCAGTCACTTTAATATATATTTGTTAAAGAAGAGAATTACCAAACTATGAATTATTTAAACTCCAATATTAGTTAAGGGAATATAGAATGAAAAAGGTTCTACCTTGTCAATAATTGACTGCATATGAGATTTGTGAGACTGGTCTCCATAAAGCAAAGAGGACCACTGATCTGGTGCAATTCGTAAACCTGCCTCCATAGCAATCTGCACTATCTGGGAGTCATGTTCTCGCCGCAGAGCTTCGTAGGTTCTAAATTCTTCCTTTAGTTGCATTAAAGAAGAGTCTTCATCACGTTTGGTGACCTAGTGAGACAAACACAACTGCACAATGAGTCAGGTAAAAAAATGAATTTATACTTATATATGAACATATACACATGATTAATTTTTAATGCAACAAAAATTATTTTAACCACAAACAAGATTAAAATGGAATCTATCATTGTGCCTTCAAGACATTTCCTTCTTTATAAATATCCAAATCTTCCTTATAGGCTTTACAGAACAAGAATGTGTTAAAATGAAACTCAAAGACTGAACAGACCTGAAAACAGCTGTGTGCCTCTGAGTATGTACATGTATATACACACAAACACATACACACTGAAAGTGTGTGTATATATAAATTTTTTAAAAGAAGAAAACATTCATACAACTATTTTGGAAAGCAATGTATGTTTCTCCAATGTAACTATGGATTATTTCTTTTGGGCATGCTTGGTAATGAGATAGCTGGTACTGATAACTGGAAGAACTACAGATGTAAATACGATTCTAAAAAACCAAACCCACTGCCATTGAGTCAATTCAGATTCATAACAATCCTACAGGACAGAGTAAAATTGCCCCATATGTTTTCCTAGGCTATAAATCTTATTGGAAGCCAACTGCTGTATCTTTCTCCTGAGAAGTGGATGGTGGGTTGGAACTGCCAACATTTTGCTTAGCAGTTGAGTGCTTTAGCCACTGCACCACTAGGGGTTGCTTCAAGTATGATTCTAGAGATGACTCATTTGTACTTGGTTTAATTTTCCATGCAATTTTGTGAGTTAGGCCACTGCCAGAAAGTACAAAATCTGGAATGTGGATTATAATAATGGTGATAATTGTTGTTGTTATAGCATCTTATATAATAAGAACAGCTAATACTTCCTGAGCACTTAGTATGTGCCAACCAGTGTGTTTTACCTGTACTAATTCCTTTAATTCTCTCAACTTATTGAGGTAAGTACTATTATTATCGTCAATATAAATCACATGTTGAGTGTAACGGGATGCTGGGCATAGGCCTAACAAATCAAAGTAAAATAATTTACTTCTACTATGTTGTTATTATGTGCCATCAAGTAGGACCCGACTCACAGCACTATGCTACCAGAGCTCCCTACTTGTAATATAGGATCTCCTAAACGCTAATATGGGAGCTCTGGTAGCATAGTGGCCAAGGCACTTGACTGCTAACCAGAAGGCTGGCGGTTCAAACCCACCAGCCACTCCTCGGAAGGAAGATGGGGCAATCTACTTTCGTAGTGATACTGCCTCGGAAACCCAAGGAGGGGTCACTATGGGTTGGGTGCAACTCAATGGCACATAACAACAACAACAACAAACCCTAATATAGGAGCTCTGGTAGCGTAGTGCCTAAGGCATCTGGCTGCTAACCAGAAGGCTGGCGATTCAAACTCACCAGCAACTCCTCGGAAGGAAGGTTGGGCAATCTACTTCCATACTTCTGATACTGCCTCAGAAACCCAAGGAGGGGACGCCATGAGTTGGATACGACTTGACAGCAGTGGGTGGGTTTTAAACCCTAATATAGTTTAGAACATGTTCTGCCTCGTTAATAACCTTTTATTCCCATAAGACTCCCAGGTTTTTTTTTTTTACTCCAAATCCTTTTGAATTTTGTTCCACATTGTTCTCCCTCTCTATTCAGGGTCTCCCACGTAGATCCCCATCCGAGTGGTTGACAGTGGTAGCTAGGCACCATCTATTTCTTCTGGTCTCATAGTTGTATAGGCTATGGATCTCATGGTGTGTCAGTCGCTAGGACTAGTTCTTTCCATGAATCTTCGGTTTTCTTCATTCTTCTTAGCGCTGGACGAGGAGAGACCCCATTGCATCTAGATGGCTGCTTGCAGGGTTTTAAGATCTCAGTCGCTACTTGCCCAAGTAGGAGGTGGAACAATGTTTCATGTAGTATGTTATGCCAATTGAAGTTGATGTCCCCTGTGACTATGGTCCCGAAGCCACAGGTTTTAACTACTAGGTCCATCTGGGTAGCTGGCTGTGACCAAGAATTGAATATAACACCTTGTCCCTTGTCAGCTCTAATATACAACACTCCCAGGTTTTTTTTCTTCCCTCCCACCAAAGAAACTAGACTACTATGGCCAAGATTTCTAAGTCACAATGACATCAGACTTAAAAATGTATTACCCCCTTCTTATTACAAGAAGGTATAACTTAAATTTTTTTATATAGGTGGATAGAAAGGACATAAACAGGAAACAAACAAAAGCTACAGTCACACAAACTAAATATTATTTCTCCATTAAGTCAAAAGATCAAGCATATATGCATATACGCTTGAGAACACCCCCTTGATACAGGCTAACCTAAATTAAAATGTGGAATATGCTTTCTTCATGATATACTGGTTCCGTGCATCTGGCTTTCAACATTCTCTGGATTAGTAACAATGAAGGATATCCAAAGAGAAGCAATGTTTAAAGTCCCAGAAATGTACTATACTAAGAAAGACTAGAATTATTCTGAAGCTTGAAAGGGTTTTCAAATGGAAATTATGTTATTCTTGTTAGGTGCCATCGACTCTGCTCCAACTCATAGCAACCCTATATACAACAGAACAAAACACTGTCCAGTCCTGTGCCAGCCTCACAATCCTTGCTATACCTGAGCCCATTACTGCAGCCACTGTGTCAATCCATCTCATCGAGGACCTTCCCCTCTTTCGTTGACCTGCCACTTTACTAAGCATGACACAGTCCCTTTTGAGAACATAACCAAAGTAGATCAGATGACTGAGGGACACCAGACTCAACTGGCACAACAAAATACATAAAAGCCTTGTTCCGCATCCTACATTGGTGAGTAGTGACTGGGGTCTTAAAAGCTTTCAAGTCGCCATCTAAGATGTAGCTAATGATCTCCTAGTGTCAGAAGTGAAGAAGAGTGTGTGTGTGTGTGTGTGTGTGTGTGTGAAAAACTCAAGGGCATTTGGAAGCAATCAGCTGTAGGACACAATGGCCCTTGAGACCAGAAGAACTAGATGGTGCCCGCTACCAATGCCAATCACTCAGGAAAGGATCAAGTCTGGAGATCCTGAATACAGTGGGAGGAAAAATGTGGAACAAGATCCAAAAACTCAATAATATGACCAGAATTACTGGTCAGATGGAGTCTGGTGAAACCCCCAATATTATGGCCCTGGAGTACTTTCTGTACCTGGAATAAAACTCATTCCCAGGAGCTGGCTCTCAGCACAACAGTTAACAAGATATACATGAAGACCACTCAACTCAGGATGACGCACCCACATACTCTATGGAAATACATCCCTTCGAGCAATAACCACGGGGCATCAGAGGGGCAACATTCACACGGAGGAAATGCAGAACAAACAGGAGTGCATAACTATGAGGGGCACAGGGGGAGGGTTACTGGGCAAGGAGGGGAGTAGACTGGGTTAGGGTTGGGCATGGTAAATGGGGAGTGAAACTAAATGCCTGGCCATTCTTGCCTCCAAGGATCATTCTGGCTGCACTTCTTCCAGGACAGATTTGTTCATTCTTTTTGGTAGTCCATGGTATTGTGTAAGTTTTCTTCACCAACACCACAACTAAAAGCATCAACATCAACTGTTCTTTGTTGTTTTTTTTTTTTTTGTTCACTGTCCAGCTCTCACATGCATAGGAGGCGATTGAAAATACCATGGCTTAGTATAGGGTTAGGTGCACCTTAGTCTTCAAGGAGACATCTTTGCTCTTCACCACATTAAAGAGGTCTTTTGCAGCAGATTTGCCCAGTGGAATACGTCGTCTGATGTCTTGACTGCTGCTACCATGGGTGTGGATTGTGGATCCAAGTAATATGAAATCTGTAACAATTTCAATCTTTTCTCCATTTATTGTGCTTATTGGTCCAGTTGTGAAGATTTTAATTTTCTTTATGTTGAGATGTAATCCATACCACAGACTATAGTCTTCAATCTTCATCAGTAAGTGCTCTAAGTCATCCTCACTTTCAGCAAACAAAGTTGTGTCATCCGCATATCACAGGCTGTTAATGAGTCTTCCTCCAATCCTGATGCCATAGTCTTCTTCATATAATCCAGCTTCTTGGATTATTTGCTCAGCATATAGATTGAATAAGTATGGTGAAAGGCTACAACCCCGACACACTCCCTTCCTGATGTTAAATCATGCAGCATTGCCCTGTTCTATTCAAATGACAGCCTCTCGGTCTATGTACAGGTTCCCGATGAGCACAATTAAATGTTCTGGAATTCCCATTCTCCTCAATATTAACAATAATGTATTATGATCTACACCATCAAATGCTGTTGCTTAGGTAATAAAACACAAGTAAACATCTTTCTGGTATTCTCTGCTTTCAGCCAAGATCCATCTGACATCCATCAGTCAGTAATGATATCCTTCGTTCCATGTCCTTTTCTGAATCCAGCTGGCATTTCTGGAAGTTCTGTCAATATACTGCTGCAACCGCTTTTGAATTATTGTCAGTAAGACTTCACCTGTGTGTGGCATAATGATATTATTCGGTAATTTCCACATTCTGTGGGATCACCTTTCTTTGGAATGGTACAAATATGGATCTTCTCCAGTCAGTTGGCCAGGTAGTTGTCTTCCAGATTTCTTGGCATAGACAAGCTAGTGCCTCTAGCGTGGCATCCATTTGTTGAAACATTTCAATGGGTATTCCATCAATTAATGGAGCATTGTTCTTCACCAGTTCCTTCAATGCAGCTTCAACTTCTTCCTTCAGTACCATTGGTTCTTGATCATATGCCACCTAAAATGGATAAACATCAGCCAGTACATCACTGGTACAGAATCATTGGTACAATGATTCTGTTTATTCTTCCATCTTCTTTTCATGTTTCCTACATTACTTAGTGTTTTGCTCATAGAGTATTTCAATATTGCAACTGAAGGCTTGAATATTTTCTTCAGTTCTTTCAGCTTGAGAAATGCCAAGTATGTTCTTCCCTTTTGGTTTTCTAACTCCAGGTCTTTGCACATTTCTTTATAATAATTCACTTTGTCTTCTTGGGCTGCTCTGCGAAATCTTCTGTTCAGCTCTTTCAGCTCTTTTATCTTGTCATTTCTTCCATGTGCTTTAGCTAATCTCTGTTCAAGGGCAAGTTTCAGAGTCTCCTCTGACAACCATTTCGGTCTTTTCTTCCTTTCCTGTCTGTTTAATGACCTTTTGCTTTCTTCATGGATGATGTTCTTGATATCATCCCACAATTCTTTAGATGGTCTCTAAATTCAGGTGGGATATACTCAAGGTCATATTTTGGCTCTCGTGGACTTGTTTTAATTGTCTTTTGGCTTCAACTTGAACTTGCTTATGAGCAGTTGATGGTCCTTTCCACAGTCAGCTCCTGGCCTTGTTTTGGCTAAAGATATTGAGCTTCTCCATTGCCTCTTGCCACAGATGTAGTCAGTCTGATTGCTGTGTACTCCATCTGGCAAAGTCCACATATATAGCCACCATTTATGTTGTTGAAAACAGGTATTTGCCATGAATAAGTCATTGGTCTTGCAAAATTCTATCATGCAATCTCCAGCATTATTTCTATCACCAAGGCCATATTTTCCAACTACCAGTCATTCTTCTTTGTTTCCAACTTCTGCATCCCAATCACCAGTGATAATCAACACATCTTGATTGCATGTTTGGTCAATTTCAGACTGCAGAATTTGGTAAAAATCTTCGCTTTCCTCGTCTTTGGCTTTGGTGGTTGGTGCATTCAATTTGAATAATAGTAGTGTTAACTGATCTTCTTCTACGCATATGATATCATCCTATCATTGACAGCACTGTACTCCAGGACAGATCTGTTTTTTTGAAAAAAATTTTTGTTATAATTTGGTGAAAGTTTACACAGAAAATTCATTTTCCATACAGCAGTTTACATAAACTTTGTCTCAGGACATTGACTGCAATTTCTCACAGTCCAACAGCTCTCTTCCCATTTCCTCCATGGACTCCTGCGCCCCCAAGGTATCTCCCTGTGCATACACTGCCCTTGTGTTCTCCCATGATTGCTGTCTCCAAGGAGTTAGTATCTACCTAATGTAAATGTTTAGCTCATATGCTTGTCTTTTGTCTGGCTGGAAGCCACAGAATTGGGTTCAATTCTAGACCTGAAAGGCAGCTAGGGGCCATAGTCTCAGGGGTTCCACCAGGCTCTATCAGACCAGCAAAACTGGTTCCCCATTTTTTTAAATTAATGATTTTGAATTTTGTTTCACATTGTTCTCCCACTCTATCCAGGATCTCCTACACAGATCCCCCTTGGAGTGGTTCACAGAGGTAGCCGGGCACCATCTAGTTCTTCTGGTCTCATAGTCATAAAGGCTAAGGACTGCATGGTGTATCACTTCCCTGGACTGTTTCCATGTGTCTCATTTTTTTCATTTTTCTTTGCTCTGGATCAGGAAGAACCATCATTGCATCTAGATGGCTGCTTACAAGCTTTTAAGATTCCAGGATAGATCTTGAAGCATTCTTTGTGACGAAGAATGCCACACTATTCCTTTTCAATTTGTCATTCCCAGCACAGATCACATGGTTGTCTGATACAAAATGGCCAAAATCAGTCCATTTCATTTCACTAATGCCTAGGATATCCATCTTTATGTGTTCCATTTCATTTTTGACAACTTCCAATTTTCTTAAGATTCATACTTCATACATTCCATGTTCTGCTTCTTAATGGATGTTTATAGTTGTTTCTTCTCATTCTGAGTCATGCCACATCAGCAAATGGAGGTCCCGAAAGTTTTACTCCATCCACATCATTAAATTTTGCTCTACTCTGAGGAGGCAGCTCTTCCCCGGTCATATTTTGAGTGCCTTCCTTCCTAGGGGCTCATCTTCTGGCACTATATCAGACATTGTTTCAGGGCTATTCATAAAGTTTTCCAGTAATATATCAGAGATTGTTTCACTGCTATTCATAAGGTTTTCACCAGCCAATTCTTTGAAAAGTGGATGGCCTTTCCTCTTCTAAGTCAGTCTTAGTCTGGAAGCTCTGTTGAAACCTGTCCACCATGGGTGACTCTGCTGGTATTTGAAATACCAGTGGCATAACTGCCAGCCTCACAGCAACAGGCAAGCCACCACAGTACAACAACAAACTGAGAGACGAATGGTGGAAATATCAGATGCTAAAACGACACAACCAGAATACATGGCCACAATTATCTGCAAGGAATGATGGAAAATGTAGTCTTATGAAATGCCATGAGGAAAGTGAAATGGGTTTTCGTGAACACTTAGCAGAAACTCTGCCAAAGGAGTAAAATTAAGGGCAAGAGACATACTGGAATGAGAGAAGTTAAGTCTTTTCCTCATTGAGAATGCAGTACAAACTACCACCACAGAAGAAAAAGGATAGGCAACAAATAAAAGAAACATAAAATTAAAGAGGAAAAAATGGGACCGACCCAAGAAATTACAGACTTCATAAGTTTATGTAAACAAAAGGCCAGAATTAGATTTTTACAAATTTCAAATCTTGCTACTATTAATGCTTCTGAACGTTGTGTTGTTGTTACACGCCATCTAGTCAGACCCGACTCATAGCGACCCCTCCTTGGGTTTCCAAGGGAGTATCACTACCGAATTGGACTGCCCAACCTTCCTTCTTCCGAGGAGTGGAGGGTGGGTTTGAACCACCAGCCTTCTGGTTAGCAGTCAAGTGCCTTAGGCACTATGCTACCGGAGCTCCCTGCTGTTGACTAGGGTTGAAAAAAGTTTACTTTTTGGTATTCAGGGGTTTTTGAGGTTATTATCCTTCAGAGTAGCTCTAGTGATGTTGTGCTACCAAAAAGTCAGTGGTTTGAACCCAACAGCTGTTCCACGGGAGAAAGATGAGGCAGTCTGTTTGTATGACGATTTACAGCCTTGGAAACCCAATGGGGCAGTTCTACTCTGTCCTATAAGGTTGCTACCAGTCAGAATTGACTAAATGGCAGTGGGTTTGGTTTTAGTTTTTATCATCTTTCAGAGAAAACTGAATTTTCCTTTTCATTTTTTTTTAAAAAGCATCCTATATTATATATGTCTTGTACTGTTAATGGAACACTGTAATAAGAATCTGAAGAGTACTTCAGATTACACTGTACAATTTCACTACTACAAACATAAAATACATGAGCCATTCAGGGACAATCTGGACTAACTGGAGTAATTATGGCTAGAGGTCTGACAGACAGGACGGGTGATATGACAGACCCAGAGTCCACACCCCATTTCCAGCATATAACCCAACTGTAGCAAGAAAGAGAAAATGTTAGCATTTAGTCAGAAGTTTTAATTTTGCTTTTCCAAAATTAAACCTGTATGCTCCTGTTGACTCTGTGAATCACTTGATGACTAATGTGAGCTTTTGTAGCTTATGAGCGTCAAATGAAGAAATAAGGTGATCTCAGGAATGAATTTCCTTGTAACAAAACTAAACCCACTGCCATTGAGTGGATTCCAACTCAAAGTTGACCCTGTAAGAGAGAGTTAGTATGGCCCCGTTGGGTCTCCAAGGCTGTAATCTTTATGGAAACAGACTACATCCTTTTCCCATGGAGTGGTTGGTGGGTTTGAAATGCCAACCTTTTGGTTCACAGCCAAGTGCTTAACCACTGAGCTATCAGGGCTCCCTGAATTTCCTTATAGCTAGTATAAATTAACAAATTAAATTTGAGACATGCTTCCCCATTCCATGAAGTATTGCTTATAGGCTGTATTAGAAGCAAGAAGCCCTGATTTTAAGAAGTTAAGAATATAGGGTAAATAATAATTGAGAGCATATACCAATGTCTGAAGTGGTGCTAATTCAATTTGGGATACAAAAGAAAATGTCCAGCATTACTACACAGTATGCAAACTGAAATGTTAACTGGAGCTCCAGCATTGTATATGGGGACTTACACCAGGAATAAACAACCAAATAAAACTCATTTGTACTTCAATGATTATCTCTCCAGACCAATTCTGCTTATAATCTTGATGGGAAACTGAGGTCACTTTCTTCAAATACAAAAATTTCTAAGCCATAGGGCTGATTTATGTTATTCGATATCCAGCATTCAAAATCCAATCCATCTATTATAGAATTTAACCGTAATAGAACACCACCACCTACATCTTCATTTCCATTCTTTAAAAAAAAAAAAAAAAAAAACCTGAAATTTCCAAAAAGATACAGGCAACTTTATTAAACTCAGTTTTATTACTTAAGTTTAGGGAAAGGACAATGTTTTCTTTCAAGCTGATATTTAAAATAGATTCATACCTTGAAGCAGGAGGCTCTATAAAGGAGCTGGACAACATGCCCAATGCTAGTTTTAGAGGCTTGAGGGAACCGTGGCTCCAACCTTTGCACCACAAAGAGAACCAAGACTTTTCTGGACAAAGCAGAACCATCTTCTAAGGCCAACAGAACCAACTTTAGAGCTTCTTCCTGCATTGCTAGCAACAGTTAGGTAAAGTCAAAATTTATCATGTGCAGAGAGCTATCACAAGCCCTTTTATTAGAAGAGCCCTATTTAACAATTTCTACAGATACCACTCAACTAATGGGCAACATAATAAGAAATACACACTGTAATAATATTTTACCATTTTTGGTGATTTTATATTACATTCAGTATATTTTAAGAAAGCAGATACATAATTAATACATTTTATAAAAACTTCCATCAAAATGAATATATTTTAGGCATTAAAAAAAATTTAAGTTCTCTGAAAAACTAACTTATAGAATTTCCACAGCAATGATTGTCAAGTGGGATATTACTTGGTAATAACAAAATATTGTAAAGAACTAGTCTTTACACAACACTTATAGTCCTGACATCATACTTTCAGAATTATTAATGCAGTAAATATAATATTTTAATATACCTGGTCCAAGGAACTGGCAGCCTCTAGCTCTGACTGCTGCCCAAAGATTAGAAGAAAGTTGCTGAGGATTCTGGTGCTGGAGGATGAGCTCTGTAACTGTTCGTTCACCTAATGATCGAGCTGCCCTCATGGCACGAATCCTGCCTTCTTCTTCCACTAGTTGGCAATGAACCAGAGTCACCAGCTTCCTCTGCATTGGGCGACTCAGAACACTCTGAGTAGTGCTATTCAGACCCACTCCTTTAAAAGAGTAAAAAAGTTATTTCTAGGTGTTATGGATCGAATCATGTCCCCCCAAAGTATGTGTTATAAATCCTAACCTCTATGCCTGTGGTTATAATCCCATTTGGGAACAAGCTGTCTTTGTAACACTGAGGCAGGATTAGTGTAGGGTGTAACTTGAGTCAATCTCTTTTGAGATGTAAAACAGAAAAAAGCACAAGCTAGCAAGAGAGATGAGGGAAGATTGATGCCAAACCTCACGGAGATCTCCAAGGAGCCAGGAAATAGGTTTAAGGGACAAGGACCTTTTTCCTAGAGCCAGCACCCTGAATATGGTGTTCTAGCCTACTAAACAGTCAAAAAAATAAACTTCTGTTTGTTAAAGCCACCTATTTGTAGTATTTCTGTTATAGCAACACTAGGTAATTAACACACTAGGTTTACAATGCAATTTCAGAGTCCAAGAGCAGTTCCTTTGACAGTCTGACTGACCTGTGGGTAGCATGTAACAGCTCTGGGTTCTAGAACACTCAAACAAACATCAGATTTACCTCTAGCACTGCTGAGTGGTTTCAGGTACAATGCTAATTCTTCTACACATTTCTTTGCTTCCTCATAATGCTTTGTATCTTCAACTCCACTACACAAAGTAATGGGTTGCTGCTCAGGGACCTGGAGGCGAAATGAACAGATCTTTTTGAGTGTTAATTAATTAAACAACTATGTTATTGAGAACATTTTACTTACTGCTACTGTAACAAAACTCCTACTTAATTTACTGAATTCTTTCAAAAGATCTTTTCTATATATGCAAAATATATATTTCACTTTTTAGATTTTTTTTTGTAACAACATTAGAAAATTTAAAGTGCAAAATTCAGTTGTACAGTCATCACCACAATCAATTTTAGAGTACTCTCATTATCCCCAAAAGGTAACCTCATACTCTTTAACAATCATCCTTGATTTCTCCCCAGTACTCCTAGCACTAGGCAGATATCAATTTACTTTCTGTATCTATGGCTTTGCCAATTCTGGACATTTCAAGTATGTAGAATCATACAATATGTGGTCCTTGTTGCTCTGATTCTTTCATTTCACACTTTGTCAAGAATCATCCATCTTGTATCATTACCAGTACACTTCATTTACTGTCATCCCCCAATAACATTCCAATATAGTCTCTGGGTGGCATAAATGGTTTTACACTCAACTACTAATCTAAAGGTTCACAGTTTGAACCCAGCCAGTGGTGCCTGGGAACAACAGCCTAGAGATCTGAGTCTGTAAGATTACAGGTAAGAAAGCTCTATGGCACAGTTCTACTCTGTTAACACATGGGTTCACTATGAGCTGGAATCAACTTGACAGCAACCGGTTTGATTTGGTAAGTAGATATGCCATATTTTTTCACTCATCAGTTGATGGACACATGGGTTTTTCTTCCATTTTTACTATTATGAATAATGCGGCTATGTTTTCCTTCTACTGGGCATGTACCTAGAAGTAGAATTGCTGGGTTTTATGGTGACTCTATGTTTAAACTTTTGAAGACGTGCCAGATTGTTCTCCAAAGTGTATGCACCATTTTACATACCCTTCAGCAGTGTATGAAGCTTCTAATTTCTTTACATCTTTATTATTGTCAATTTTTTTTTATTGTAACTATACAAGTGGGAAGGAACCGCCAGCCTTCTGGTTAGCAGTCAAATGCCTTAGGCACTATGCTACAGAGTCCCTATAAAACCCAAACTCACTGCTATTGAGTCAATTCCGACTCATAGTCTCACAGAAGTAGATTGCCCAGTCTTCCTTCCAAGGAGTGGCTGATAGGTTTGAATTGCTAGTCTTCTGTATAGCAGTCAAGTGTCTTAGGCACTATGCCACCAGCCACTCAGAAGGAAGATTGGGCAATCTACTTCCATAGTGATAATGCCTTGAAAACCCAAAGAGGGGTCGCTATGAGTCAGATCTGACTCGATGGCAGTGAGTTTGGTTTTTGGTTTTTGAGAGGGAAAGAAGATTGGGCAATCTATTTCAGTACAGATACTGCCTTGGAAACCCCAAGGAGGGGTCACATGAGTTGAACTTACTTGATGGCAGCGAGTTTAGTGGGTGTAAAGTAGTATCTCATGATTGATGTAGTTTTTATTTCCCTGATAACTAATGAGGTAGAGCATCTTTTTGTGTGTTAATTGGCCATTTGCTTTTTTTTTTTTACAAAAGCCTACTCAGGTCCTTTGGCCTATTACAATTTTACTTTTTTACAACAGCTTTAGATTTACAGAAAATTAAAGTTGAGCAGATAGTACAGAACCATTGTTTTATTATTAATACCTTATATTACTTTAAGGAAGTCTGGTAGCACAGTGCCTAAGGCATTTGACTGCTAACCACAAGGCTAGTGGTTCAAACCCACTAGGCACTTTGCAGAATCAAGACTAGGGAATCTACTTCCATAAAGATTTACTGCCTTGGAAACCCAATGGGGGTCGCTATGAGTTGGAATCAACTCAGTGGCAGTGGGCTTGTTTTGTTTTTTTTTTCCCATTACGTTAGTATGTTTGTAATAATTAATGAACCAATATTGACATTATTAACTAAAGTCCATACTAAGATTTCCTTAATTTATGCCTCATGCCCTTTATTTGTTGTTGTTCCAGATACCATGCAAGCTACCACATGCCATTTAGTCATCATGTCTCCTTAAGCAATTCTTGGCTATGACAGTTTCTCTGAATTTGTCTGGTTTTTAAAATTAACTTGACAGTTATGAGGAGAACCGGTGAGGTATATCGTATAGGGCCCCTCAATGGTATCTGTCTATTGTTTCCCTAATGATTATATTGGGGTTATGGGATTTTGCTATTGTCTGATACAGTGTCAGAAGATGAGCCCCCCCAGATTACAAGGAACTCAAAATATGACTGGGGAAGAACTGTTTCCTCAAAGAGAGTTTACTTTAACGAAGTGGGTGGAGAAAAGCTTTCCAGACCTTCATTTGCGGATGTGGCATGACTCAAATTGAGAAAAAATAACTGCAAAGATCCATTAATTATCAGAACATGGAATGGATGAAGTATGAATCTAGGAAAATTGGAAGTTATCAAAAATTAAATAGAACACATAAAAATGGATATCCTAAGCATTACTCAGCTGAAATGGATTGGTATCGGCCATTTTCAATTGGACAAGCATAAGGTCTACTATGCCAGGAATGACAAACTGGAGAGGGATGGTGTCGCATTCATTGTCAAAAAGAGTATTTCAGGATCTTTCCTTAAGTACAACACTTCAGCTATAAGATAACATCCGTACACTTACAAGGAAGACCAGTTACCACAACTATTATTCAAACTTACGCATCAACCACCAATGCCAAAGATGAAGAAATTAAAGATTTTCACCAACTTCTGCAGTTTGAAATTTATCGAACAGGTGATGAAGATGCATTAATAATTACTGGTGATTGGAATGTGAAAGTTGGAAACAAAGAACATTAATTGGAAAATATGGCCTTGGTGATGGAAATTACACTGGAAATCCCATGACAGACTTTTGCAAGATCAAAATCACACAGTCAAATGCTTTTGAATAGTCAATAAAAGACAGGTAAACATCTCTCTAGTACTCTCTGTTTTCAGCCAAGAACTATCTGATACCAGCCGTGATAATCCTTGGCTTGAATTTTGGGCAGTTCCTGTGATTTGCTTCTCCAACTGTTTCAGCAAAATTTTACTTGCATGTGATGCTAATGACAATGTTTGATAATATCCACATTCTCTTAGAGCACCTTTCTTTGGAATGGGCACAAATACAGACCTCTTCTAGTTGGTTAGCCAAGTAGCAATCTTCCAAATTTCTTCCCCTAGACAAGTGGGCATTTCCAATGCTGCATGTGTTTGCTGGAACATGTCAAGTGGTATTCTGTCAATTCCTGGAGCCTTGCAAATATCTTTTTTCAACAGCAAAATGGTGACTTTACACATGGCCTTTGCCAGATGGAATATAAAGGAATCAAATCAACTACATCTATAGAGACAACAAAGGAGCTCAATTTCATCAGTCAAAATAAGGCCAAGGACTAACTGTGGAACAGACCATCAATTGCTTAGAACCAACTTTAAGATGAACCTGAAGAAAATTAAAACAAATCCATGAGAGCCAAAGTATGACCTTGAGAATATTCCATCTGAATTTAGACACCATCTCAAGAACAGATTTGATGCATTTAGCACTAATCACTGAAGACCAAACAAGTTGCGGGATGACATCAAGGACATGATACGTGAAGCAAGCAAGAGGTCATTGAAAAGGAAGAAAAAACCAAAGCAGATGTCAAAAGAGACTCTGAAACTTGTTCCTCAATGTTAAAGCAAATGGAAGAAAAAATGAAGTAAAAGAGCTGAACAGGGGCCGAAATCCATTCAATGGGGAAGGGAATGTTTGTTTAATAAATGCTGGCAAAGCTGGAGATCTATTTGCAGAAAAATGAAACAAGATCTGTACCTCATACCATACACAAAAACTAACTTCAGATGGATCAAAGACTTAAATGTGAAACCTGAAACGATAGAGTTCCTCAAGGAAAAACTAGGGGCAAATTTAAGGGCCCTAATATATGGCATAAATAGACTATCAAGCATAACTCAAAATGCACAAACAGCAAAAGAGAAACTAGATGGATGGGACCTTCTAAATATTAAATTTTTATGTGCTTCCAAAGACTTCTCCCAAAGAGTCAAAAGAGAACCTACAGATTGGGAAAATATATTTGGTAATGACATATCTGACAAGGGACTTATCTCTAGAATTTACAGAAAACTCCAACACCTCATAACCAAAAGATAAATAATCCAATTAAAAAATGGGCAGAAGACATGAATAGATACTTCACTAAGGAGGATATTCAGGTGGCCAACAAACATATGAAGAAATGCTCACAATCATTAGCCATTAGAGAGATGCAAATCAAAACAACGAGATACCATCTTGCCCCAGCACTAGCAGCAAAATTCAACAAGACAGAAAATAACAAATGCTGGCGAGGTTGTGGAGAGAACGGGACTCTCATACACTGCTGGTGGGACTGTAAAATGGTACAACCACTGTTGAAAGCAGTATGGTGATTCCTTAGAAAGTTGGAATTAGAAATACCATTTGATCCAGCCATTCCATTACTAGGTATATATCCTAAAGAAGTGAGAGCCATGACAAGAACAGACATGTGCCCACCCATGTTCATCACAGCACTATTTACAACAGCCGAAAGATGGAAACAACCTAGGTGTCCATCAACTGAGGAATGGATAACCAAACTATGGTACATACACACAATGGAATACTATGCAACCCTAAAGAATAAC